CCCAAACAGGCGCTGCCGGCTGCCGGCGGCCAGCAGGGACAGGGCGCCGTAGAGGTCCCTGCACACGGCAGGAAACACACAAAAGGAGAGTGCTGAGGCTCAGCCAGGCAGGCCTCACGCACAGGCTCAGCGGCCCAGCGGCCGCCCCCGCTGCAGGCACTGCGTGTGGGGCCTCAGCAGCAGCAGCGGCAGCGGCAGGCAGCCCCCTCACCTGCCCTCACAAAGCTCCTGCAGCAGCACGCCCTTGGTGCCCACCAGCGCCACGCCCACAAACCCGACCACAGTGGCGTGCCGCAGCTGGTGCAGGCGCACGGCCTCCTGCGGCAGGAGGAGAAGGAGAGGGGCCAGGGTGGGGAGGCCTCCCCGCAGCCGAGCCAGCAGGCTGGCCACCTCGGGGCAAGCCGGCAAGCCCCGCGGCCGACCAGAGCCAGCCAGCTTGGACGCCCGGCTGACGCCATTGCCCCACGTGTCCAGCCGCTGCCGCTTGCCCGCCCTCCCGCCTGCCAGCCGCGCACCCGCACAAACGTCTGCTGCAGGTCTGGGTTGGTGCCAATCTCGATCTCCTTGGCCGCCACAAACTCGCCATGCAGCACCGCCTTGTACACCTTGCCGCTGCGCATAGCGGCGGTGGCGGGGCAGGCGGCGAGGGCACAGCGAGTCATGCAATCGGCTTGAGCCAGCCAGCCCGCCTGCCGTCAGGCTGCACGTGCACTGTGTCGCCCCTCAACCCCATGCTCGCCAAAACTCAGTCCACCGGGCGCGTGCTGACCCACCTGGCCCCCGACCCCAGCTCATGAAGCTTGCCGTTTGGCAGGCGGCAGTAGTGGAAGCTGTCCGGGTCCACCAGGAAGTCGCGCAGGCCCTGCGGAAGCTGCGCGGCAGCCAGCAGCTGCTGCTGCGCGTCCGAGGGCGAGGCGGCGCCGCCGCTGTCGCCGCTGGATGACGTCACCGCCGCATCCTGCGCCTGGATCAGCTGCTGCAGCTCCGGCAGGGCCAGGGACGGCGCATGCGGCATGCCCGCCCCCAGTACGGTGGAGGACATGGAGGGCAGGTGCGGCAGCTCCCCCACCCCCACAGACGGCTGCGAGGTCAGGCTCTGCGGCGCGGGGCTGCTGCTGCCGCCGCCCGTGTCAAACGCCGCGGCCGCAAAGGCCGACGGCGGCGGGCCGGCGTCGGGCGCCGCCGCTGCCGCTGCCGGCGCGGCGCCGGACGCTGGCGCCGCCTCCTCGTCGGCCACACGCTCGCTGCTGCTGCCGCCGCTGCCATTCAGCTTGGCGCCCTGCTGGTGCAGGCGCCGCTGGCGGCGGCGCCGCGCTAACCAGACGGCGGCGCCGACCAGCGCCGCCGCCGCGGCCGCAGAGCCGACCGCGATGCCCGCTATCGCGCCGGCAGACAGGGACGATGCTGCTGCTGCTGAGTCTGGTGCTGGCGGCGACGGCGACGGCGACGGCGGTACCGCCGGCTGCTCGTCCCGCAGGTACAGCAGGCCGGTGGGGTTCCACAGGATGGCGCTGGCGTTGGCGTCGTGCTTGAAGATGCCCAGGCTGCTGCCCAGCCCGCTCACCCCCTCTGCAGGCCGGCGCAGCAGGCAGCAGCCGCGCATGCGTTCAGCCATTTCAAGGACCGAGGAGGATGGACACATGGGGGTCGGCCATCAAGCGGGCCAGCCAGCCAGCGCCAGCGGCGCCAGCGCCGCGCCGCGCATGGCCCCGCAACGTTGCTTCAGGATGAAGGCCTCACACTCCCATTCCTGATCACAGATGTCGGCCAGCTGCTGGGGGGAGCCCGGCAGCACGCACTCCTGAATCTCCGGTCTGAGCATGGGGTGGGGAGGGGGTGCCGGAGGGCCCAGCGCCTCGTCAGCGAGCGAGCCGCCGAGAGGCGCGGCAGGCGCGGCGGCTGCCTGCCGGCGCGGGGCTGCCTGCCTGCCAGCCGCCCTCCTTGCTCTCCTGCGCTTTCCTACCCCGTCCCGCCTCACCTGAGCGACTGCGAGCAGTTGAAGCGGCCAAAGGAGAAGAGGCCCTTGCCCGGCAGCAGGGTGTAGCCTGGGAGCTGGGGGCCCGAAGTGACGATTGGGCCACCCGCACTGAAGGGCACGGCGGGCCCCTTGGCGATGAGGGCCGCGGGGTAGGCCAGGGTGGGCTGGATGAGGGTCTGGAAGCGCAGCTGGCACTGATACTGCTCCAACTGCAGTACCATCCCGCCGGACGCCTGGTACCGGCAGCCCCCGGGCTGCTCGCAGTAGTTCCAGCAGTTGCAGGAGTCGGGCGTGGAGGTGGCGTTCACGGTGACGACGCTGGCGCTGCCCAGCCCCCAGCCCCGGCACGCGCGGCAGCATGCCTCCGCAGACGGCTGGGCGATGGTGGACACCTGCGGCGAGAGGAGCGGGGAGCAGGCGTGGGGCAGGGAGTCGGCCGGGACCCTGCTCGCCAAGCAACACCAGGAAGCAGCAGGGCAGGGCCATCGCCAGCACAGCCGCAGGAGCCCGCCCAGGCCGCAGGCAGCGGCACCGGCGGCCCGCCCCGCCACCGCGCCGCGCACCACGATGCCGTCCACGGCGGCGTTGCGCCCGATGAAGCAGCCCTGCCAGGAGCTGTTGGCGGCTGCCTCCTCGGGGGTGGGCAGGATGGTGGTACCGTCGCTGTTGTACAGGTACTGCGCAGTCTGGATGAAGAGAAGGGGGAGCAGGACAATTCACGCCTTGAAAGGGCGCAGCAGGCTGGGTGTCCACGGGCCCACGGCAGCGGCTGCAGGGGCCCACGGCAGCGGCAGCAGCGGCCGGTTCCCAGGGGGCCGACCCGAGCGGCAGAGGCGGGTGCGGGCTGCCTGGGGCATGCAGCCAGGCCATGGCAGCCAGGCCAGCAGCCGTGGGCCGCTCTCACAATGGGCAGGTTGTCCAGGCGAGTGATGGAGTACATGAGGGGCGACGCGGTGGTGGTGGATGGCGGCAGGTTCACTGCCTTGAGGACGGCAACCAGGTCTGACGCGCCGTCGGTGCCTGCGGCGCCACGCAGCCCACGGCGGCCAGCGGTTGCCGCATGGCAAGGCAGCAGAGCAGGCAGGCCGGGAGCGGCACGAGCGGCAAGAGGCTGCACAGGCCTTCTGGCAGGCCCCGCAACGGTGCTGGGAGGGCCTGATCAACAGCGTCGACACTCCCAGTTTGCATACCCACAAACTCACCGTTTGGGTACACCACAATCGTGCGGCACTGGCTGGCGGCCGTCATGCAAAACATGGCGGCCTCCACCGCAGTCCTGCGGCAGCGGCGCCAGCGGCAGGCGCGCCGTCGTTCAGCCGCAGCTTGCGCCGCGGGCAGCTGGCCGGTACGCAGCTGCGTGCCTGTGCTGCCTGCTGACTCCCTGCCCGCCCAGCAGCCTGCTTGAGCTGGTGACACAGCAGGCAGCGGGCCAGCCCACTAGCCTCACCTGAAAGCACATTTGCCTGGCAGCACCGAGCCAGGGCAGGTTTGGTCCCCCATGCCCTCAAACCCCTGCGCCGGTACCGTCGTGAAGCCCGGGAACTGGCGGGCCTCAGTGCGCCAGGGGAAGCCTGCAGGCAGGCACGGCCAGGTGGTAGGCAGGGGCGCACGGGCGCTTGTGCACCCCAAACCTAAATAATCGGCGCACGATTCGTCGGGAGGGCGTGCCACCGTTGCGAGCGCCAGCGCCACCTACCCGAGGTGGCAGCCACCTGCAGGCCCTGGGCTAGCACTTGCGGCACGGCTGTGCCATTGGGCGCCAGCAGCTGGCAGTCCTGGAACTCCAGCTGCACGCCGCCGGCATCGCAGCCGCCCTGCACATGCGCCACAGGCGGGCAGCAGCCACCTGGGCGGCGGGCTTGCTGGCTGGGCCGCAGGCGAGGGCGTGGCTCACCAGCTGAGCCTTCAGCAGCAGCAGCAGCAGGGAGATGCGCCAGGCTCGGCACTGTCTCTCACCTGTGCTGGGCACCAGACAAACCAGGTGCATGGGTCTTCTCCCCGGCACAGCTCGGCACATGCGTCGACAGTCTGCGCCGCCTCGGCGACGCTCAGCTCAATGCCCGCCAGCACCACCTGCGGCGATATGACTGTGTTGTCCGTGCTGTTGTCGCCCTTGCCTTGCGTGTAGTACACCTGTGAACGCCGAAGAGAAAGAGCGACAAACTGCGTTCAGGCACACAGCCAAGGCGCGTCCGCCACCGCTGGCACCGCCGCCGCCGCCGCTGGCCGGCACCAGGCGTGCGGGGTGCCGAGGGCGACGCCCAGCCCGCATCTGCGCCAACCAACCTGCGACTCGAGGAGCGGGCCGAGCGTAGTGTCCTGGGCCACTACATCCACTGGCGGCAGCAGGAGAGGAAGCAGGAGCGCCCACACGGGCAGCAGGGCCCGCATTTACGGGAGATCCGGCATGGAAGCAGAACGCGCCACGAAAAAAAATTGGCCATGCGGCCGCTGGGGCTGCGCAGCTGCAGCACCTGGCCGACCTGACCCCTCACTCATGTGGCAGGATCATCGGCCTATTAAACTTGGATCCTGCCTAAATAACCCGGCGGTGGCAGCCCTAGGACAGGAGGCAGCTCTGCTGAGAGCACAGGCCCCGGCGCCGCTTGTGCCCCCCCGCCATGGGATTTCCCGCCTCTCAGCTTGCTGCTGTCCTTACTGGGACAGGAGGGTTACAGCCTCCAGCCCAGCTGACACAATCCGTCAGAAACAATGCGTCAAACCAGGCAGAAAAGCAAAGCAGTTCCAGTGGGTCACAACCACCGGGCGGCGGCGCGGACGGCTGCCGGCACCACACCCAGCCGGCAGCCCTGGGGCGAGGCACACAACCCAACACGGCTACTGCCCGCCGGCAAAGCGCACCGTCATGCGCTCGCCCGCCGCCGCCGGCAGGCCGCCGACCGCCGCGTCCCGGGCCGCCGCCGCCACGTGCGCCGAGAAGAAGCCGTTGAAGTCGAGGCGGGCCATCAGGTTGAGCAGGCTCTCCAGCTCCTCACGCGTATCGCTGCGCTCGTTGTGCGCGGTGCGGTGCGCGTCCGCCAGGGTCGCCATGAACTCGCCCGCCTTGCTCAGGAACCGGGTGCGCAGCTCCCTGCAGCGCAAGCACGGCGCACGGGGCAGGGCAGGGCTGGGAGAGCCGCACCGCGACGGCCAGGCAGGTGCAAGGAACGCGGGCAGGGCAAAGCGGCGCTGCCCGGCGCTGCGCAGCAGCCCCCTCAGGCCTGCCTGCCGCCTCCCCACCTGACGCTGGGCGCCACCTCGGGGCGCGACAGCTGGCGCTCCAGCTGGGCGCGCGCCAGCGAGGCCTTGAGCAGCCGCTGCTCCCGCCGCCCCTCCTCCGCCTTGCGTCCTGCAGGAGGAGCAGCACGCCACAGGTACGGCACACCCTCAGCACCAGCCCGACAAGCGGCTCATGCCCCCCAGCGACAGCTCCGCGCCTCCCCTTCAATGCCCAGTCCCGCCGACCATCCAAACCGCCCCCGCACGGCACAGGCGCGCCCCAACACGCTCTTCTCTCTCTCACTCTCTCTCACACACACACACACACCTGAGCCCATGCACTTCTGCTCCACCTCCTCGTCCAGCGCATCCCAGGGCACGCTGGCGGCGTCGTCAGACACCTTGACAAAGCGCATGGCCAGGTCCTTGAGGCTGAGCAGCGTGCGCAGCACAGCCACCTTGCGCGACAGCAGGCACCCCTTCATCAGCTGCCGCAGGAAGGCCTTGTGCTGCTCCACAATCTGAAGGAAGGAAGGGCGCCGGGGGCAGCGCAGGCGGCAGGTGGGCGGGGCAGGCGAGGAATGGGCTGGGAATAGGCGGGGCCCAGTCGTCCGCCCAGGCAGGCCAAGCATGCACCGCCACCCAGCCCGCCACTCGTCGCCTCTGCCCGTGCTACGCCCCCACCTCCCTACCTGCCTCCCATCCCTTCCCTGCCACCACCACCGCCCCACGGCCGGCACCCCGCCGCCACCCGCCCACCTCGTCCAGGCTGCTGGCGGTCTGCAGCTTGGCCTCAAAGGCGCCCCACAGCGGCTCCATCACCTCAAAGGTAACGTACATGAGGTACTGGCGGAAGAAGTGGGTCATCAGCTGGCACGTGCTGCACGACTGCGCCAGCGCCGCCGCCAGCAGGTCGTCGCGCGCGGGGCCGCCGCCCAGCGAGGCCCGCCGCATGCGCGCGCGGCGGTTGGCCAGCCCCGCCGTGCGCTGGAACAGCGCCGCCACGCGCGTCAGCTCCCGCTCCACCCACTTGAGCTCAAAGATGTGGCGGAAGGCCATCTGGTACTGCGCCAGCGCCGCCTCTGGGGCCGCGATGCTCAGCGGCCACGGCACCTGCGGCGCAGGCAAGCGCGTCCGTGCGCGAGGCGGGCATGCGGGGGTAAGTGACGGTGTGCGGCGGCGAGGCTCGGCAGGGCAGCGGCCGCAGGAGAAGCGGGTAGGTGGTGGACTCTGCAGGAGGGGCGTGCCGCGCTGCTGCCTCCCTCCCGGCAGGCAGAGAGCTGCCTGCCTGCCTGCCTGCCTGCCTGCCTGCCCGCCCGCCCTGCCTCCCTCCCTCCACCCGCCCACCCACCCACCCACCTCATACGACAGCATGAAGCTCTCCCGCGCCGACCGCTTCTTGCCGATGTTGTTGCGCTCGCTGGCGGTCATGGGGGCGGGCGTGGTGGCCCTCAGCTTGCCCACGCTCAGCCTGCCCGCGCCCTCGCCGCCCGGCACCGCCGCCAGCGCCTGCTGGTTGGCGATGAGCATGTTGAGGATGGAGCGGTGGTCAAAGGCGGCCGCCAGCCTGGTGGCGTCGGGGTCGCCGGCCGCGCTGCTGCCCCGCACCGCGCTGTCCAGCAGCGACTGCAGCTGCAGCAGCGGCACGGCGCCCACGTGGCTGCGCAGCTCGGGCTCCGCAGCATCCATGAAGTGCAGCAGCATGTCACCCTGCGGTTTTGGGCGGGTGTGTAGGTGCAGGTGGCGTGTAGGGGCAGCAGCCCGTGCTGGGAGCGAGGCTGCAAGGCCGTGTATGCACGCCACACACGCTCCTGAGCGCGAGCGCCACGCGTGGCTGCCCAGCCGCGCCCCTGCCCCGCACCTGCGCGGTGAGGAAGTAGCGCTTGAGCGCCGCCAGGCCGCCCGCCAGGTTCTCGCGCCGCCGCAGCAGCTCCATGGCGGCGGAGGAGGCGGCGCGGTGGGCGTCGTCGATGCGCAGCGCGTACTTTCCACCCTCGTCGTACTCTGCAGGGCCGGGAGGTGGAAGGGACGGGGAAGGAGGAAGGGAAGGGGGGCGAGGGTGAGTGAGGGGGCTGTGTGCCTCCCCGGGGGATCAGGGCTGACTGCGTTCAGAGGGTCTCAAGACAGAGCAGGGAGAGAGGCATGCAAGGGAGCCTGCTGCCTGGTGCGCAGCGCCCCGACAACGGATCGCCTCGCGCAAGCAGCGGCTGCCTGTGGCACGCGGCTGCGCGCCAAGTGCCCAGCAGCGCGGCGCCCGCGGCGCTCACCCAGGTGCGTGCCCAGCGGCAGCGTGCGGGGCGGCTTGGTGCCGCACTCGCGCATCACGTTGAGATACTTGCCGGTGTTGAGGATGACGCCCTTCTGGCGCCGCAGGAAAGCGGGCACATCGTGCAGCGGCTGCCGCTGCTGCTGCAAGGCCGCGGCCGCCGTGGCCGCTGCCGCGGCGGCCGCCGCCCCTGGCGTCCCCGCCGCCCCCGCCGCCGCCGCCAGCTGCTGCTGCTGCTGGCTGGGCGGCGGCGGCGGCGGCGCCTGCTCCAGGGGCTGCCCCGTCCTGGCGTGGCATGCGGTGCGCAGAGTGTAGCGGTCGTGCCAGAAGGCAGACTGGTTGTCGGCATTCAGAGACTCGCGCTTGATGCTCTGCAGGGCAGCACAGGCGCAGCGGAGGCGGCGGGCGATGCTCGCTAGCTCGCGCCAGCGACAGCGTGCCGTGCGCGCACCCGCATGTCAGGTTGGCTGGCTGTCACCCCTCTGCCTCCGGCACCAGCAGCACCAGCACCAGCCCCACCACCACCAGCCCCACCAGCCCCGCAGCCTCACCGCATCCGCCTGCACCATGAATTCTGCATAGGGGTCGTCCACCGCGCCCTCGCACAGCCACCGCTCCAGCATCGAGAAGTAGGGCTCCGCCGCCGCCCGCAGCAGGCGGTGCGCCAGGCGGTGCGCCGCCGCGTCGCCCATGGCCGCGGCGCAGCGCGCGTGCAGCAGGTCGAGCAGCGGCGCGCCGCGCAGCTGCCCCGCCGACGCCTCGGCCGCCAGGCTGGCCACCAGCTTCAGCGCTGCAGTGGTGGCACAGGCGTGTGCTGCTGGGCCAAACAGCCGGCACCGGCACCAGCAAGGCGGCGCGCAAACAAGCACGCCTCGGCTTGAAAGCTTCCGCCGCGGCCATGTGTCCAGCCCGCGCCCCAGCCTGCGCACCTGCCATGGGCGGCTGCACATAGTACCACAGCGCCTGCAGCGTGAGCTTGCTGCTGCGCAGCTGGTGCTCCAGCTGTGCCACCATTAGTTCCCAGTCCTGCGGGGGCGCACACACGGAGCCGCCATTAGCACAGCACAGCGCAGAACGCCACCGTCCTACCAAAGGCATAGAGCCCGGCACGGCAGCACGCCCATCCACCCTCATGCCAGCACATTGCAGGCCCAATGCGTAATGGCGGCCAGCCCGCGCCGATTCTCCCCGCCACCCGTGTCCCGACCTGCAGCACGTGCCGCATGGCGCCTGCCAGCGCGTGGCACACCAGCCCCCACTCGTACACCCGCCGCGTCTCCACAAACCGCTGCACCACCGCCGCGTACTCGCTGCAGGGCAGGGCAGGGCAGGGCAGGGCAGGGCAGTGAGGGGCCACCGCAAGCTGAAGCCGGCTCACGCAATGCCATGCAGCTGCCAACATGCGGCACTCCACCCGGCAGCAGGTGACCGGGCCCGCCCCTCCACCCCCCCACCCGCGCACCAGATGGGCAGCATGCGCGCCGCCATCTCCTGCAGCGCCGGCTCCAGCTGGCCCTGGGGCACCACCTCAAAGCCGATGCGCGTGCCGCCGGGCGCCTCCAGCAACTTGGCGCGCACGTAGCTGCCAGACAGGCCCATGAAGGCCGACAGCAGGTCATCCACCACTGCAGGCGGCGCAGAGGCAGGGAGGTTGCAAGAAGGAGGAGAAGGTTCTGGTGTCTGCTTGTTGTTGGGCAGCCCTGGGCATGGGCGCACGGCGACGAATGCACGGCAGCTCCCGCCCGCCCATGCAGCAGCCGCAGCTCGGATGCACCAGGGCAGCACCAGCCAGGCGGGCGGCGGCGCGGCGCGGCACTCACGCAGCGACTCCTGCACGTGCGGCGGGTAAGTCTCCAGCACCTGCGGTACGCCGTCCCTGCCGTCCCGCTTGCCGCCCTCCCGGCCGCCTGCCCCCGCGCTGGCCTGTGCCGCCGCCTCGTACAGGAAGCGGCCCGTGAGGAAGGGGCGGCTGAAGTCCCAGGCCGGCAGCTGCGGCGCGGCGAGCGCCTCCAGGTCCAGGTACGCCGGCAGCGCAGGCCTGGCGGCAAACAGGTCGCCCACGGGCGGCAGGCGGGCGTCTGGCGCCAGGGAGTCCAGGGTGGGGGTGCGGATGGCGTCGGCCAGCCGGGGCGTGTACTCGCGGTCCACCTTCTTGTCGGGGGACAGCAGCGCCGCCTGCGGGGGGGCGGCAGGCAGCGGGCGGCACAGCAGGGGTCGCGGCCGAGCGGCGTGCAAAGTGCATTGGGCCTGTTGTGGAGTGAGTGCTTGCCCAGCGGCTGTTTGAGAACCAAATAAGAGCAAGTGACTGGGACGGTGCGGCATACTGTGGCCGTGACCGTACAGCTGTCCCCGCACCTCGCCAAACATCGGGTTGGTGCGGTAGGCGCCTGCCTGCTGCGCCGGTGCGGTGGCCGATGCTCGGGCGCCCGCCCCCGCTGCTGCCCTGCCTGCCGGGATGCTGCCCTGTTGCTGCTGCTGCTGGTAGGCGCTGGGCAGCGGGATCGCCGCCCCGGGCCCGCCATTCTGCTGCTGCTGCTGCTGCTGCTGCATCGCAAACTTGGCGCGCGTCGCCTCCAGCGCCGCCCGCACCTCTGGCCGGTCCAGGTGCGGCGGCAGGCTGCCCGCCGGTTGCTGCACGTTGCCCAGCGGCGGCGGGGCGCTGCCGCTGCCGCTCCTGCTCATCGTGGTGTCAGCAGATCGCTTGGCGACCGCTCCCGCGCAGCGACTGTTTTCAAGTTGCTCTGCAGGAGGCCGCTGCTATGGTGGATTGAGTTTCAAACGCCTACACCTGTCGTGCGCCAGCCATCCCGGCAGCCGTGCTGCGGTGAGGTGAGGGGAGCTGGTCTGTGGCAACGAACCAACACTGCAGAAGCGTGCCGGTGATACGTTGCACACGTGTGGGCTGCAGGATGGAGTGTTGTTTAGGTCGATTGAGCCCGGGAATGCAGTCTGCGGAAGAGAAGAAACTTACACATTCACAAGGCGTGCCTGCTGCGCTCTCACCATCCCTTGTGGTGGCCAGGAGGAGCTGCCGTCGAACCACCGATCGTCGCAAGGCACCAGCAGGACGCTGCAAGAGCACCGCCAAGCAAAGCGGGTCGAGGCTCTTCTGTGCTGGTGGAGGCTCCGGCTGGTGAGGCCTTTCATTGGATGGCTTTTTACCCTGCCCGAATTGCTTATACCGCTTGCAGAGGCGCCGCATGGGGAGCCAGGCGGCTACACTCCTCCGAAGCCCGCCCAGCCTTGTGTTCCAGCCCTGATCAGAGGACAGCACTCCAGCTGGCACCCTCCGCACCATCTGCCGCACCGCTCCCTGCTGCAGGAGGGGGGGTGACTAGAGGATGGCCGCTCTGCGCTTAGCGGCGGCGGCACGCACGTCGCGCCCCTGCAACCCAGCACCCCTGCAGCACTGCCGTTGCACACATGCCCGTGTCGGCAGCAGCGTGCTGTGGCAGCACACACGGATCCAGCAGCGGCAGCTGCGGTGGCAGCAGCTGTCGACGCGCACCAGTGCGGCAGCAAGCAAGGTGGCAGCGGCAGGCGACGAGGGCGAAGGAGGGACGCCAGCTGCGGCCGCATCAGCCAGCAACCCTGCCAGCACCAGCTCATCCTTGCCGGCAAGCGCAGCGGACGGTCCCGGCAACGCTGACGCAGCCGCAGGCACGGCGCCCGCGCCGGATGCTGCCTCCACAGCCAGCAGCTCTGAGCAGCCAGCCGCGGAGCGGCAGCAGCCCGCCTGGCTGGCCCAGGAGTCGCCATGGCTGACGGCGCTGCGCGTGGGCAGCGACGCGGCCGCCACCGCTGCCGCCGGTCCAGCGGCGGCCGCCGCCACGGCCGGGGACGTCGCCGCGGGCGGGTCTGGGGCCAGCGCGCTGGGAGCGCTGGTGGTGTTTTTCCGCGTGCTGGGCGACACGCTGCGCGTGCTGCTGCGCCTGCTGCTGGTGGAGCCGCTGAGCTGGGTGCTGAACCGCAGCGGGCTGCTGGCCGTGCGTGCCGCCGACGTGGTGGCGCAGCTGGAGCGGGCCAACAAGGTGGCGCCGCTGGAGCCCGACCGCCTGGCGGGGGCGCTGCGCCTGCTCAACAAGCACCACCCGCAGTCCACGATAGAGGTGGGCTGGGGCCGGCTGGCTGGGTGGGCTGGGTGGGCGCGTGCTGGATGCCCAGGCTGGCTTGGCTGGCTGGGGTGCTCCAAACTTGGGGCGCTCTGGAGGGTTGCTCTTGAACCACGCCGCCCTTCAGGTATTACTGCCGCCCCGCCACCCTGTGCGCAGTTTGTGGAGCACAACTGCCTGTCGGGCAGCCACGGCACGGCGGCGGGCGACAGGTTTGCCGTCAACGCGGCCGTCGTGCGCGAGTACATCACGGCTCTGGTGCAGACGGGGCGGCTGTCGCAGTACGGGGACAGCCCGGACGCGGCTCCGGGCGAGGGGCAGAGCCACCGCTCGCTGCCGCAGCTGCTGGAGGAGCTGCAGGCGGCGGCGGCGGGCGCCGCGCTGCCGGGCACGCCGGGCGCCAGCGTGGCGAGGCCGCTGCACGTCGTCATGCAGGGGCAGGTGCGCCTGGCGCCGCGGCGCTGCCGGCTCCCCTGTGCCAGCATGGGTATTATTGGGGGAGCCTACCCGGGAACTAGGCCGGTACCGTGGCGCTGCCCCATCGCTGATCGCCTGCCTGGCCTCATGCTGCGTCCACGGAGCAACCCTCAACCCCCTCCGGAAAGGCGCCACCCCTGCAGGAGAAGGCGGGCGGCCTGCTGTCCTGGCTCAGCAGCTTCCTGTGGAGCTGCATCGGCGTGACGGCGGTCATGTACGTCATGACGGCGGGCGCGGCGGCCATGCGGCGGCTGCAGGGCGGCGGCGCCATGCAGGCGGGCATGCCGGGCAGCGGGCCCGGGGTGGCGGCGGCCAGCGGAGGCTCCTCCATGTTTGCCGCCAAGGAGTACAGCAAGGTGTGTGCGTGCGTGGTGTGTGTGTGTGTGTGTGGGTTGTTTTGGACCTATTGTTAGGGTGGGCCCCGCGCTTGGCGTGATGCCCCTCCGGACGGTTTGCATGCATGCCCGCCGTTTGCCCCCTGCCAATGCCGGCCTCGACCCACCCCGTTGTGCCCCTGCGCCCGCCCGCCCGCCCGGCGCAGGAGAACCTGCCGGAGAGGAGCGTGAAGAAGTTCAAGGATGTGAAGGGGTGTGATGAGGCCATCGCCGAGCTCAAGGTGGGGCACCGCTTGGGGCCCTGGGGGGGTGCTGTGCGTGTGCTGGTTGAGGTGGTGGCGGAGTGCACGGCCTGCACGGAGGCGCTGCCCCCACGGTTGCTTGGTTGGACAGCCTCCTCTCACGAAGCGCCCTCCAGCCTCTGACCCCACGCTCCGCTGTTTCTCAAGGACTGTCCCCCCCTTGCTGCAGGAGATTGCCGAGTACCTGAAGAGCCCCGACAAGTTCACCCGCCTGGGCGGCAAGCTGCCCAAGGGCGTGCTGCTGACGGGGCCGCCCGGCACCGGCAAGACGCTGCTGGCTCGGGCGGTGGCGGGGGAGGCAGGCGTGCCCTTCTTCTACAAGTGAGGCCCAGGGAGGGCGGGGGCCGGGCGGGGGGTGTGGAGTGGCGACAAGGGAGGCACAGGAGGAGGGCGGCGTGTGGGGCACCAGGGTTTTGCTCCCCGGACCACCTCACACTGCCTCCCACCACCCTCCTGCACCTGCCCGCCTGCCCGCTCACTCGCCTCCCGCCTCCCGCTGGCTCCTCCACACCCCTTCGCTCCCTGCCCTCCCCTGCCTCGCCTCGCCCCCGCCCTCCCCGCCCCGCAGGGCGGGCTCCGAATTTGACGAGATGTTTGTTGGGGTGGGGTCGCGCCGCGTGCGCGCCCTGTTTGCGGCGGCCAAGAAGAAAGCGCCCTGCATCATCTTCATCGATGAGATCGACGCCATGGGTGAGCGAGGCTGTACGGGGGGGGGGGGGGGGGGGGGGGGGGGGC